TTACTGTCTCTCTCTCTCTCTCTCTTTGAGCAGGTGAGATTAAAAAAAAAATAGGATATTTCCTTTTCTTTTCTTTTTTTGAGACAGTGTCTCATTCTTGTCACCCAGGCTGGAGTACAGTGGTGCAATCCCAGCTCACTGCAACCTCTGTGTCCCTGGTTCAAGTGATTCTCCTGCTTAAGCCTCCAGAGTAGCTGGGACTACAGGCACTCGCCACCATGTCTGGGTAATATTTTGTTTTTTTAGTAGAGGTGGGTTTTCACCATGTTGGGCAGGGTGGTCTCGATCTCCTGACCTCAGTTGAACTGCTCACCTTGGCCTCCCAAAGTTCTGGGATTACAGGCATGAGCCACACGCCTAACCAGACATTTCCTTTATTTAAAACCTCACAGAAGCGCTTGTAGAAAGTGTCCCCACTAACGACAACAAATATGCCATCCTAAAAAATAAATACCATCAAGTAAATTCAATAAGATAGCTACTTAACGCTAAGAAACAAAAATTTCCTGGAACTGTTTAAATCCTCTTTGACTTATCTTTATCATCTTAAAGAGTAGGTACAGGACTCTCAAAATTTCTGGATTGAATGAGAGTTGTTAGTGACTTCACAATGTAAAACCAACCCAACTTATGGAACAAACCTTTTACAATCAATCAAATTATATTTTATTCCAGCCTTAGATCAATATAACACATGCCTTTCTAAATCAAGTTTTGTGTATTTAAGGGCTGTATTGGATTTTTATACAACTTGACAGCAACTCATTAAGTAAGCTAAATAAATCAAGAAGTTTCGTATATGTTATAATGTTAACATTTTTGTGTTTTGACTAGAAGACTAGGCATATTTCTTTAATGTCACTTAATTTTCCATTATTATGTAGATATATGCATATATTATACATGCATTATGTAGTTACACTATTTGTAGGCCAACAGGATTATTTTTTTCCTCCTACACCCTGAACTCCTGCATGTCTCCATCGTATTTTCTTGGTGAATCACAGCACGAACTTGTTTTACTCCTAAGCCGACCCTGCAGGAGCTAGAGCTCAGTCTGTCCAAACTGAACTCTCTATCTTTCCCATCAAATTGGCTTCAAGAGCTCTTATTTGCTCTCTTATTACGGTTATCCGTGTAAAACCATATGAGAAGCCTCCAATTATCCTTGATTACTTTCTGCCCCTCAACCCCAGATTCAGGCATCACTGAATCCTGTCAACTAAAGTAGAGAAACGTCTTTGAAGTTGGAGCTGTTTGCTCTCAGTTTTCACTGCCACCGCTTTAATCCAGGCAAGTCAGATAGAGGCGGCTTTGAGGAGCAATGCCCCGGTTTATTATTACAGCGATGTGTGAAGCTGACCCCTCTAAGCTTTCGTTTCCTCAAATATCAAGTGGAGAGTGAATTTCCCTCCGGTGTTGCTGTGAGAATAAATGGGGTAAGACATATAGAGCACTGAGCAGATTTCTGCCGAGTAGGAAGTTGAAGGTGAAGGATGAAAAAGAAGGGAAGGTTGTTCTCGGGTAGAGAGGATAAAGCGTAAAATGCCTGAGGAACCTGAAGCAGCACAGCCCATTCAGAGATAAATGCTTAAATATTAATAATTCTTCATATTCATTGCTATTAGAACTGAGGACTGAGGACTTAATTATGTAATATTCGTGGCTAAATAAGATTTACTCGCGTTTTTTGTTTTTTGTTTTGTTTTTTTCTGAGACGGACTATCGCTCTGTCGCCCAAGCTGGAGTGCCGTGGTGCGATCTTGGCCCCCTGCAAACTTCGCCTCCCAGGTTCAAGCGATTCTCCTGCCTCAGCCTCCTGAGCAGCTGGGATTAGAGGCATGCGCCACCATGCCCGGCTAATTTTGTATTTTTAGTAGAGACGGGGTTCCTTCATGTTGGTCAGGCCCGTCTTGAACTTCGGACCTCAGGTGATCTGCTCGCCTCGGCCTCCCAAAGTGATGGGATTACAGGCATGAGCCACCTTTCCCGGCCTACTCGATTTTTTTAAAATGCAAAGTAGAAGAGTTGATCCAGCAAAAGAACAACTAAATCCCACCATAGACACAGATACATACATACATTTGCACATCAGGAGCATCTCCAGGGAAAATATCCTCAGTAAGTGGTCCCCTGATCCATCATTTTCAACTCTTAATGGAAAATTATGGGAAATGATTACCGCAGTTATGTTTGCAACACTTTTACAGTTGTTTATTTACAATATTAAAAGTTGCAATTTTACAATATCCTGTAATTCTCAACATAAAATTGAAAATAATAATAAGCTTCAGACTGGGAATCTCTTGTTTTAGTCTTTCAACCAGATTTCACTCATTGGCAGTGATTCTTTCTTTTGACCCATTTCAAAAAGCTGTTTCTTTTACCTTGAATTGCTTCCAGCTAACTGTATCTACATCTGACCCTAGGGAAGGAACAGTGCTTTGGAACTAGTGCTCTAGGGCAGTAATCAAGAGTGGTCTGAGATGGGTAGTGTCCAGTAGCTACCAGATGACACTGGATATCGGAATTAGAAAGATCCCTCTGACATCCCTTGCTCTTGCTAAGACAGAGACATCAGATGTCAGTGATTCCACCTCCTCATCAGGTCAGTTTTCCTGTGATCAAGAATAAAAAAGAAAGAAAAAAGGCCTTTCATTTACTTGCTAACTGAAGCTGTATCGGTTGTTAACTAGCATTGAAATGTTCCATTCTTTGTCTAAATTACATGAATTACTCTTAGGCTTTCCCTTCACTCTTTTAAATAACCGTTTTTTTCTAGCCATAGTGGATATGCCTGTTTTCAAAATAAAACTGCAAAGAGCCATTGCTGCTTCAAAGATTGCAGATTAAAAGCTATTTAGCTTGTCACAGCAAATCCATTAGGGTAGAAATCTATAAGGTCTATTAAATTTGTAAACAGTGTTTAATAGTCTTTTACTTTGGTAGATGTTTATTTATAGTTAGTTATTTTTTAAATTTCCCTTTTTATACTAAAGCCTTTTTTTTTTTTTTTTTTTTTTAAGAGACAGAGGTCTGGCTGTTTCAACCAGGCTGGTCTCCAACTCCTGGCTCAAGTGATCCTCTGGCCTCAACCTCCCTAATATCTGGGACTGCAAATGCAAACCACTTTGCTAGCTTGCCCGGCCTATTTGAAAATGATTTATAGTTATTTGGTTATTTATTATTTTCTAATTTCCCTTTTTATACCAGGGCAATTTTTTTAAGAGACAGAGGCCTTGCTTTTTTGACCAGGCTGGTCTCCAACTGCTGGGCTCAAGTGATCCTCTGGCCTCAGCCTCCCTAATATCTGGGACTACAAATGCACACCACTTGCTAGCTTCCCAGGGCCCATTTAGAATTGATACCATTTGTAAAATTTCTTCCGGGTCTCTGAAATATAGTTTGTATAGCATCTTTTATAAATCTGTAGTTATAATATTTTTGTATGGTATCTTGCTATGGTTAATAAGCATCAGGACCTTTTAGTAAAAGAGATTATATCAGGTTAGTTAGAACCCTGAATGATGCAGTGGGTAATATTTGAGAGTGGGTTTCAAATAACAAAGCTTGAAGAAGTTCTACTCAAAAGGCTGAGGTGGGACAACTGATTGAGTACCAGAGGTGGAGTCTGCAGTGAGCTATAATCATGCCTCTGCACTCCAGCCAGTCTCAAAAAAATAATAAACAGCTTCAGGAAATGTGAGGAATTCGTGTTGGTTAAGTCTAAGATGAGGTGACAGTGAGTGTTCCATAATGTTCTAGGCCTTCAGCCTTGGACATGCAATAGTGAAATAATATAGCAGTATAGAACAATACTATATGATTCTCAGGGATTGCATCAGATCAATTGCTAACAGTAGGAAGACCAGTGATGGCAGTGGAGCTACCACTCCGAGACACTGTTAAACACAAGGACTACAGAGGTTGTCTGCTTTTAACATCGTATAGATAAAACAAGCTCAAATTCTTTTTTCCTTTACTCAAGATTCAAAATTAAAATGAGGGCAATTAACTGTTTTATTATGAAATGTATATAAGAGAAGACTTGGCATATATTTAGAAATTAAGAAAGAACAGTAAAACAAATTGGCATATGCTTTCCACCTGGCTTAAAAATTAGAAAATGAGCTGCAACTTAAGTATACTACCATTCCTGTCCTCACTTTTTGGGATTCAGTATTCTAAAACTTGTGTTCATCATTCCCTTGATTTTTTTGTGGGTTTACCACATATGTGCATCATAATTGTTTCCTTTTTACCTTTATATGCTGACAGTAAATCATACTTTTATGTATACTTCAGTGACATTTTCCTAAATATTATTTTTTGAGTTTAATCCACGTTGATACTCTAGTTCATTCATTCTCAAACCAATATTATATACAACTATGTGAATTTAAGATGATTTCTTTATCTGGTCTCCCATCCATTATTTCCAGTTTTTGTCTACTTCAAACCATGCCTCTGTTGACATTTTTGGATGTGTCTCCAGATATGCGTGTAGAGACAGCTCTCTAGGATGTGTTCCTGGAAGTAGAATTGGTGAGTTGCAGTGTAGTCATAGCCTTAACTTTACTAGTGCCTCATTGTTTTCCAGACAAGCTGTAGCAGTTTACATTCTCACAAGTACACTATGTGTTCCTATTCTACTATATGCTTTCCAATATTTGAAATTATAAATCATCTAAACTTTTCTGCAGATCATGGATATAAAATGAGAACTTACTTTGTTTTTATTCGTATTTTCTTAACTACTAATAATATTAAGCATCTTTTCATATGGATATTGCCTATTCTTATTTTTTCTTTTGTCAAATGCCTCTTATATTTTCCCGTTTTTATAATGAATTGTTTGCTCTTACATATTGCTTTCTGGGAATTATTTACATATTCTGGAGATGAGATTTTCTTAGTCATGTATTTTAAAAATATCTTTTCCTAATCTAATGGACGGTTTATCTTTACTTCTTTTGTTGTCTTTCAGTGATTGGAAGTTCTTCATTTTATTGTATTTGAATATATAAATCCTTTTCTTTTATGCTTTATTTAAGAAATTTTTCCCACTCTGTGTTCTCCTATGCTTCCAGTAAATTTTTAAAATATTCACAAGTAAGTTTTAATGTATATAGAAATAATTTGTTTGTGTGTGTATGTGTGTGTGTGTTTGTGTGTGTGTGTGTGTGTATGAGAGAGAGGGAGAAAAGGAAAACAAGGTTCAGCAAGGCTCAAGTTTTATTTACCTTTTATAGACAGAAAATTGCCCTAGCCCTATTTGTGAATAGTTCATTCTTTCCCAAATGACCAAGAATTCTATTTGTATCATATATGTCAAATAGCCATACACACATAGGTCTATTTCTGGGCCTACCTTCTACTTGGTTCCATTGGTTTATTTTTCTATACCATTATTAAATTTTCTTCATAATGAGAAAATAAGACACTTTCTTCTTCCTCTTCCTTAATCTTCTTTATGAATATTTTAGCTATTTCAGATTCTTTGTACTTGCACATACTTTTGAAAATAGTGTGTCAAATTCCAGGAAAAACTCTTTTGGAAATTTGATCAGAATTCTATTGAATGTATTAACCTATTTGGGAATAATGACGTATTTTTGAGTCTTTCTATTCATAAACATGTTATATATTTTTATTTATACAGATCTTAATTTCTTTCAACTGAATGTTTTTTAAAATTCCTATTTATATTTCTGACTATCATACATTTTGGTTCTTATTGTAAAGAGTACATTTGTTTAAATTAAATTTAATAACTATTATTTATAGTTATACAGAAATTCAATTGGCTTTACTATATTATCCTTATATCAGAAAATCTTACTCTACTCTTCATTATTCTAATAATCGGTCTATAGAAAACTGAGGTTGTTTATAGAGATAATTATCTCATCTTCAAATAATCAAAGTTTTCTTTCTTCTTTCCCAATTCTTAGGCTTTATTTTTCTTGTTTTGTTATGTTAGATAAGGCCTCCAGTATAATAAAATGAAATGATTATAGTGTACATTGATGACATATTCCTGATTTTAAAGAGAAAGCTTAACAATTAGTAAAGTTGGTTTGCTAATCTACTTAGGACTTTTGCATTTATGTTCAAGAGTGAAGGTGGTATTTAATAGTCTATTATTCCTTACTTGATTTTCATGCTAACATTATACCACCCTCATCAATTAAGTTGGGTCTCTTTTTCTCTTCTTTGTAAGGCATTGTTACAAAATACATTATTTTTTGTGTGTTTGATAGAACTCACTTATAAAATAATCTGAGCCCAATGTTATATTTGTAGGAAGAATTTTTATTGTTATTTGTACATTAATGTTTTATTTTTCTTCTTCAGTTAGTTATGGTTATTCATATTTTACTGACACTATTTCATCTTAATCAAGTTTTCAAATTTATTGGCATAAACTTTTCCATAACATTCTTTCTAATCTCTTTAATGTCTGGTTCATACGTAGCTAGATTCTCTTTTTATTACTAATATTATTGTATGTTATCTTATCTTTTAAAAATGGATTGGTCTTTCTAAACTTTGCCAATGCAATAATCTCACCAAATAACTTTGTTGATTCTCTCTATGTACATATTTTTTCTGTTTCTTTAACCCCTGCTCTTATCTTTAATACTGTGCTTCTGATTTTTATGGAGGTATGGTTCATTTTATAAACCTTTTTAGTTAATTAATAAATTATCAGATTTATTCTCATCTAATATAAATACTTGAGTATCTATTTCCCTGGAATAATACTACTATAATTCTCAGGTATAGATAGATTGTATTTTTATTATTCTTTGATGTTTGATATTTTCTAGTTTTAATTTTAATTTTTTTGACCTATGAATTATGAAGAAGTGTATTTTAAATTTTTCAACTTTCTACAGTGCCTTTTTAAAAACAGAGTATGTTTTCTAACATATTTGAATATCTGAATTTTGTTTTGCTCACCTTATTATATAGTACAATGGCAATTTTTGCAAATGTTCTGTGTATACTTTAAAAAAATGTATTTTGCAGTTTTGAGGTTTGGTTAATTTAATATACCTCTCTCTATGTTTATACATAATTTATCATTGTATTTTTTACATTATATCGATCCTTATCAGTTTCCTTTTTGATCTATCAAGTATTGAAGAAGATATATTAATTTTCTAATATTCTGGTAGATTTATCGATTTTTTCTTCTTTTATATATTTTAAAAATATGTCATAGAGTATATATGGATTTTGAATTATATCTTATTGAGACAGTGAATGTTTTATTAGTAGTATACAACTTAAGGAAGATACTTGTAAGTCTAGAAAACTGTTATGTGTTATTTCTTACATACATGCAAAATATTATATATCACATATCAATGAAAACAACTGAAGGTGGAAACAATCCCAAATCCTTCAGAATAAATGAACAAAAAAATTCCAAGCAGAGAGACTGTTCTGGTTAATGAGTCACAGAGAACTTTCATCACACAGGATTAATATTAAAGCATAGTTTCATAGTTTAAGGGGCAGTGTTTTTCTTTTCTGGGAAGGCTGTAACATAATAGTAAATCTTATATTCAATGATATATCAGATTAGGTGGCATAAAATAGCTGGGAATTTTAATCCATCCTGCCCATCTTTGCCCTTTTTTCTGGAAATTTTAGTCTTTTATTATTTGTTCAAAATAAGTTTATTTGTAGTTGTGATTTGGCCCACTTATGCCATAGTTTTACCCATTCAGTATTTTAGTTCTCTCCTATTTGTTTAACCCAGAAATTAGGTATTATTAGATATTAGATATTTGGGGTCAAGTTTACTCACATTTCCATTTGTTGTTCACCAGACCTTGCATCTCATATTTTCCTTTTTGAATTAAGGTCAGTAGTTCAAATGCATATGCTTTAGAGGTTCCCTTAGCAATATACATTAGTATTAAAATTTAGTTTTGTCTATATAAAATTGTCTTCATATCACTCTCAAACTTGGAAAAACATTTCACTGGGAATACAACTCTAGAGTGATAATTATTTTCTCTCAGCATTTAAAGATACTATTCCTTTGTCTTTTAGCCTATTTGCTATTGTGTAGTATTAGTGGTTAGTTGTAATCCTTATTCCTTTTGTTTTCTTTTCTTTCTTTCTTTTTTAGAGGTGTTTTTGCCTAGGCTGGAGTACAATGGCACAATCTTGGCTCACTGCAGCCTCTACCTCCAGGGTTCAAGTGATTCTTCTGCCTCAGCCTCCCAAGTAGCTGGGAATACAAGCATGTGCCACCACGCCTGGCTAATTTTTGTATTTGTAGTAGAGACAGGGTTTCACCATGTTGGCCAGGCTGGTCTCAGACTCCTGGCCTCAGGTGATCTGCCCACCTCAGCTTCCCAAAGTGCTGGGATTACAGGCGTAAACCATCATGCCAGCCTTCTTATTCTTTTAATCTGTTATTTTTTGGATGTTTTTAAGATCTCTTTGTTTTTGTTATTTTGTTTTTGTAAATTGCATTCTACAATTTTATGTTACAACAAAAAATGTGTATATTCTCCTTGGAATTTACTGGGCTTCTTTAACCTGATTCTGTTACCTTTTAATTTTGGATATTCTCAGCTGTGGTGTTTTTGAATATTGCCTCCCTACCATTCTCTATTCTCTTATTCTGAAACTCCAATGAGATATGTACCAGAACAATTTACTATACCCCAATAAAAGTTAACGTCTCTTTCATACTTCCCATCTCTTTGATTCTTTATAGTACATTCTGCATAATCTTCCATTCTACCTTCCTGTTTCTGAATTCCATTTTTACTTGTGTCTAATTTGCTATTTAACACATTCATTGAATTCTAAACAAATTCACTGAATTTAATACATTCTGAATGCCTAACATATGTTCCAAACTTTTTTGCTTTTCTGTGTTACTCCAGGCAGCTAAACCACTAGAGTGCCAGAAATGGAAGACAGATGTTTAGGAGAATTTCTACGATCATATTGAAAGAATTTCCTAACTCATAACTAAAGGACTAACAAGAGCTGAGAATAAGTCTGGGAGGGGAGTTTACCTTGAGAGATTTCTTATGTAACAGGGGATTGGTCTGGAATAAAGGGAGCCCTGAGAATTGAAAGGAAGTTGTATAAGAAAATCAGAAGGCTAAACAGAGAATTCTGAAACTTTCCATTTTCTGAGCTTTCCCTGCTTAAGGATGTAGCTCTTCTTCTACCCCTTCTCGTGTTGCCTCTTTTTTGCCTAACTAGCCATTTCCTTTTCTAGCTTCAGCTATTTTTCCCTTACCTGAGGTCATTACTTTCAAAAGGAAGCTGGTTTTTATTTTTTCAAGATTTATTACACTTCTATCACAACATGGTCTTGGGAGTCAAATTCAAATTATGCCCTGGAGGAGAACACACTAAGTTTGCAGATCTGTTTTAATATATATTAGGAACTGTCTCAGGAGTATGTATAAAAATGAAATTTTAGGGTATTCTACTAAGCAAGGAAGAACATTAGATCAATTTGAATTTGGCAATTTCAATTAGAATCTGGAAAACTCAGATTCTAATAGGATCTGAAGTGGACTAATACAGGTTTCATTCAACATTGACCTACAAATAAAAATGAGATTTGAGAAATGAATAAAAATGTAAAATAAGATGGTAAGAATAATGTTCATATACATTTGCCTTTTAGAGAGAGTAATTATTAGAATGTATTTTAAAAATTCAATTTATATGCTATTTATAGAAGACACAACTTAAAACACAAGGACACAGAAAAGCTGGAGAAATACACGTTATCAGTGAGTTGGAGGCAATTTCTACCATATTTGGTGTCCTGCTTTGACCTTTGTACCAGGTGGCCTAAAAAGCTGCCAGCTTTCAGTGGTGCCCAGAGCAAGAGAAAACCCTCCACTAGCTAGCCTGCCATACAGATAAGGCTCTACAACCAGGTCTTTCTGACCCAGCAGGTACCATGATGTTAGAAGTCTCTGATTAATCATGATGTCATATAGACTGTAGCAAGCTCTATAGGGGAATCAATATCCCTTGAAGTTCTGAAGCAAAGCCAATGTTTTTATGGCAAGTAACTGTACTTCTTTTGAGAAAGAGTTTCTGGCTTGCTACTGGGCTTGGGTGTTAATAGAATGCTTGAACACAGTATATCAGAGGAGTGTATGACTCAAACTGACCATCATGAATTAGGTACTGCCAGATCTTGTATATATTTATCATGAATTTAGACATGCTCAACATCATTTTTATCATTTATATAATAAGAATGTTTTTCAAACTGTTTTGACTGATATCCTCTGTAAGAAATATTATCCTCTTTACCGCCCCCCACATAAATATTCATATGCGTACGTTTATTTTATTTTATTTTATTTTATTTTATTTTATTTTATTTATTGAGACTGAGCCTCACTCTGTCACTCAGGTTGGAGTTTAATGGCACAATCTTGGCTCACTGCAACCTTTGGCTTCCAGGTTCAAGCAATTCTCCCACCTCAGCCTCCTGAGTAGCTGGGATTACAGTTGCCTACCACCGTGCCTAGCTATAGATATATTTTTTGTGGTTTTAGTAGAGACGGGGTTTCACCATATTGGCCAGGCTGGTCTCGAACTCCTGACCTCATGATCTGCCCACCTTCTCAAATGCTGGGATTATGGGCTGGAGCCACTGTGCCTGGCCATATACATACATTTAAAAAGATGTTTTGAGAAACAAAATATACTTTTACTCCGTCTCATGCAGTGTGAACATTTTTATTCTACTTTTATTCTATTAAACTTCCAAAGTCTGATTGCTACCTACTAAATTTATTTCAATACCCACTAAAGGGTGACATACAGTTAGAAATGGCATCTCAAACACCTGGTCTTGAAGACACAAGCAAATTGTTGAAATCTCAGTGGGTGTGCATGTGCCTCACTGCCAGAGTCTCATTCACTCTGCACCTGTGACTCCCAAGAAAGTCCCCTGTGACCAATTGATGGAGAAGAAAAAATTGAGCTGAGAACAATAATTCTGCATGTAATGTCAAGAATCAAGCATGTTAATGAATTTCTAAAGTAGGTAAGAATTTTCTAGTTCTTTTTACCGTAATATCAGCCCTAGTCAGAAGGAGCTATACCTTGATGAATTCTATCATCATTTGTTGTCATCTTAAAGTAATTCCACTTTGTTAGAACTACAAACAGGAATAATAACTTTTTTCTAAGTAAATTACCTAGTTTTAGAGATGTCAGTTTATGTAATTAGCATTATATATATGTAATCCTTGATACCAAAAATTTTATCAATGGAGGGGTCTTTAGAAATCGCTTTTTAAAAATTCTCATTTCATTAATGAGAAAACTAAGGTTTTTGGAGAAAAATTTACTAAGGTCACAAAGTATTGAGTAATAGAGCCAAGTCTGCAATTCAGGTCTTATACCTTAAGTAGAATTCTTATATGCTCTTTGTTTTAGTATTTCAAATAAGGAAACTTTTTGTTTGCAATCTATGCTTAATGGTGGATAAAAACAAGCACTTAGTTTCATGAAATTTCTCTAAAGGATTAATAAATTTGTCAGAAGCTGATTCTAATGAGCTTTATAGCCTGTTCAATTATTACTCATGTCTAGAAAAACAAAAATATCCCTGGTACAGGTATGTTCTTCTATACAACCTATTTCATTTAATGACTAAAATACTAAGCACAAATAGTTTTCGGAATATAACTTGAAATATACCTTTTCTAAGTACAGCAGCATGGGAAAATGTGCAAAATAAGTTGGCTTTTATTATTATTACCTTTGTTTTGTAAAGTATACTTTGGAAGCCAAATGTAGCATCTCTACCCAAATTATTTTATGCATAATAAGATTTAAAATACTTTAAAAGGAAGAGTTCTCTAACAGTATCACTATTTAGCATAGTCCATCCACCTTATAAATTGCTAGTCTCAGTAAAATTAACAACAAAGTAAAACTGAAAATTGTGCCCCCTTTGTCAGAGTGGAACTCATATGTATGCTCTGTGGAGTTAGATACAAAGGTACTTCATCTTACTGAAAAGTAAGTAATTTGCTTTTATTTATTAATGAAAATACGTCTCAAAAAAATTAAGAGTAAGTAATTTTCTTTTATTTATTAATAAAAATACTTCTCAAAAGAATTAAGATACCCTCAAGGATGTAAAGGAAGGCTACCTAAAGACACTTTCAACGGTCTATATAAGGAGGGCTTTATGCCGAGAGTGGAAGACTTAAAGTATTTTATAACTTTTTAATACTTTTATAAGTTTGGTCTTTGTCACCTATTAGATTTATAGACAGGCTCATTCTCTCAATCAGCTTTGGTCTCTGTGATACAAACGGCAGTCACCAATTTTACTTTTATTGCTTGATGCCAACCACTGTTTGCTATTTTCTTTTTTTAAATAATTCTTTATAAATGTGTACTTTATTTTGCAATACTAGAGTTTCCACCACTATTGGAATCATTCTCCTAAAAGTTAAAGCTGTATCTGGCAAACCAAGAAACCCAGACATTCTTTTATACAAAACAAATCCAATAACACTTGGTAGTGCCACTATAGCCATAAAAATCTACATTTTCCAGCATGTTTAAGGCCAAAAGAATTGGGATTGGATGACATGATATTTATCAGAATCGTCAAGTTCGTAGTTACTATGACAGGTATTGGGCATTCAGCTAAGATCTTTGAGGACATCAGCTCAATTAATCCTCAACAACATCGTGTTATGA